TTGGCTTTAAGCTTACTATATTTTCCAGTCTGGTCTTGAACTCAGAGTGATCCTCCTGTCTCCACCTTCCAAGAGCTTGGATTATAGTCATTTGTCACCATGACCTGCTCTAAAAATACATCAAATAAAGTGATGACAGTGTACACCTTTGTCTTTTTCTCATTTTAGAGTGAAACTTTTGAATTTTTGACCATTTGTTATGATGTTGGCTGTCTATTTATTGTAGATTGCTTTTATCAGATTGAGGAAAAACTATTGATTCCAATTTTCTGTAGGTTTTTTCTTCTTTGTAAACCATGAACATGTGTTGGACTTTGTCACATGCTTTCTCTGCACCTATTGAGATGACTGTGTAACTTTATCCTTGATTCTGTTAAGATGGAGTATTCTATTTATTGATTTTCATACACTGAGCCATCTTGCATCCCTGGGATGAGTCATGGTGCATCATCTTGATGATTTGCTGCATCCCACTGGCTAGTATCTCATTTAGGACTTTTGCATCTATCTTCATTAGGGAGATTGGTCAGTATTTATCTTTTTTGGTTGAATTTTTCTCTGGTCTTGGTAGGCATCATGTTAATGCTTTGTTCCAGGAATGAGCCTAAGAATTGCACTTACTTTTTGATTTCATTAAAGAGCTTGAGGAATAGTGCCATGAGATTTTTCTCCAAACTTTTTGTAAAATTCAGCAGCAAATTCACCAGGACCTGGTCTTTGATAATTTATATGCATCTAGGAATCTAATTTTTTTTACATGTTTCCATTATTAGAACAGGTATTAAATTTCTGAATTTCTGCAGGATCTATTAAGATTTCACATATTTCATTCATAATTACATGATTTGAATTTGTCTCTCATTTTTTGGATAAGGCTGGCTAAAGAGTTGTCAATCTTATTAAATCTTTCAAAGAACCTATTCTTCAATTCATTGATTCTTTGTATTATTTTTTAAGTCTTCATTGCATTAATTTCTTCTCTGATCTTTATAATTTCCTCCCTTCTGTGAGCTTTGGGCTTCAAATTGTTTAATTTTTCTAGAAGCTTAAGGTTCAACATTAGTTTCTTTGAGTCCACTCTGTTTTACTGATGTTGAGATTTACCAGTCTAAAATTTCTTTTTGGTAAAGCTTTCTTTGCATTATAGAAGTCCCAGCATATTGCATTGATATTACATTTAATTGTAGAAACTAATTTCTTCTTTAATTTAATCCATGACTCATTGGTTGTTCAAGGGGATATTATTTTATGTCTCTGTATTTATGAAATTTTTTGTGGCTTCTTTTGCAATTTATTTCCAATTTCAATGCACTATTATCTGATAGGATAATCTCAATTTTTTTCATTTACTGAAGCACTTCCTATCAGCTAGTGTGTGCTCTATTTAGCTGAACATCACATGTTCTACTGAGCCATATCCTCTGCCTGGGACCTCCTCTTATTGAGAAGTTTTTGCATGTCAGAAGAAATTACCAACAGAGTGAAAAGACAATTCACAAGTTGGGAAAAAATCTTAACTAATAAGCACTCAGACAAAGGTCTTCTTTCTAGAATTTACAAAGAACTAAAAAACAGGGCTCCAAAATTTTTCTAGTTTTTGGTCACATGGAGTATTATTTTCAGAACTTTGACTTTCAGTCTATGTATTTCTTCTTAAATTGGATGTATTTTGTATATGCAGCAAATTTTTGGATCTTGTTTCTTGGTCTATTCTGCCAATATGTTTTTGGTTTTTGATTGGTGAATTGAAAACATTTACATTGATGGCTACAACTGATATGTATTGACTTGCCATTTTCATATCATCTTTATATTGCTGGTTCCATTCCTTTCTCCTATATTTAATTACTTACCTTCCTTGGTTGATTCATTCTGTTGGAGTTCATGTAGCATAGTTTTCATTATCTTTTCCTAGAATGTCCTGCAGAACATTTTGGAGGGATGGTTTGGTTTTTAAGAATTCCCTCAGGTGTTTCTTGTCAAGGAAGTATCTTACTTCTCCATCCATATCAAAGATAGTTTTGTATGGTACCTCAATCTGGGTTGAAGTTTACTTTCTTTTAGGACTTGAAATACAGCTCAGCTTGACATAAGGGTTTGTGTTGAGAAATCTTCTATCATTTAAATGGGTTTTTCTTTTATAGGTGATTTCCTTTTATAAGTTATGCTTCTAATATTATGTTGTGCTGAATTTCAGAAATCTTGGCTATTATATGACTTGGGTAGTTTTTTTTTTTCTCATGGCTAATTGAAGTTCTATATCTTTCACTGATCTGGACATCAAATTCTCTTTCCATGCTCGGGAAGTTTTCTATGATTATACCTATGAACAGATTTTTTTAAATGCTATTTGTGTGCGCTCTTCTGCTTGTTCAGTAGCTGAAATCAATCATCTTTTATTGCTCTTTGCATCATCTGGCAGTTGTTGGATGGATTTTTACAGTCTCTTGCTATTTTTAAGAAATCTTCCATTTTATGATAACTAGCTGCCATTTTGACTTCTAATCAGATATGATAGTCTGTCCTCACATTCGTGTACTCTGCTGTATATAATTTCAATACTTTTTAGTCTCCTATATATGTTTGAATCTGTTTCATAGAATCAACTTCCATATACAATATCACTTACACTGATAGCACATGTTTTGTTTTCCTGGCCTTTGGGGGGCATATTTGAAATCTTTTTGGTCTTCCTGTGGTTATAGTGGGTTTTTGTCATGTTGCACCTGCCTGTTCATGTGTCAACTCACCAATCTGCTTCAGAATTTTTTTGCATGGATTTATTGGCAGAAACATTTTGTCCTTCCTCTGTTGTAAGTGATCTTTTATCACTTCTAGTTCTAATCCTCTAAGAAAATTTCTCCATGATATTTTTCACTTCCTATTTTCTTTTTAATCCATGAATCAATTTATGACACATACTATTTAGGATCAAACAAAATACAATCTTTTGTCAATGCTTTGTGTTTCAAGTGACATCATAGTTGCTATATAACTTGTCAATAACATCCACCTTGATTTTGTTGTTGGAGCATATGATATCTGTTTTAATTTTTATCCAGCTTATCTCTGTTGAGCTTGCCATCAAGGTACAATGTTGACATTAGCACTAACACTTTGCTTTCCGTGGCCATCTAAAAGGTCAATGTTATGTTTGAAATCCAAAGATTGTACCTTACAAAATTGTCTATTTTGAACTTGGAACATTTCATCAGGAATTTCTACTTAGTTCTTGCATATAGTTTGTGCTCTCTAGCAAATGTAACACCACTAAATACCTAGTAAACCAATTGTTGAATGTCACGTTCTGGATACCTTGGTAGAAAGGAATAATGTCTATCTACAACATCATTTAGTTTATTGATACATGGATAAAGTCATTGGCTGAGTTCCAGGATAAACTTCTAAAATGAAAATATAATATGTCTTGGCATATACCAAGACGTATATTTTTTCTACCATATTTTGAAGGCTTATTGACATTTTGAAACAAACCTCTCAAACAATGAGCACTTAGCAACCAGATTATCAGTTCTTTTTCTTTCTTTGAGGGTAGTTTTGTTATCAAACCTCAGGAAATGTTGAAGGAAATCAGATCTCCTTTGTGTTGTTTTCCTACAAACCTCAAGTCCACACACATTGCTTTTCCCTAAGACTTTTTTTTTTTTTTTTTTTTGTATCTTAGGGAAGAGTCTACAGGGTTCAGGGTCTCATTACTAAATTGGACTCATAGTCTTTCTGCTGTTTACAGCCTCCCAAGTGCTGAGATTACAGGCACGCACCACCTCGCCCAGTCTCAGTAGCCTTCTCAGTGCACCCCGGGGGTGGGGCCAAGACAGCAGGCCTGGGGATCCATAAGTTTTACATTCCTGTGATTATTATGGTAAAGCCTTACTAAGTACAGCAGAACCATGAATGTTTTCTGTTCACATAGTGAGGTGTCATAATAAACATTTGAGTGTCGATTGGCATTATACAGAATGTTTCACTTATATTTCATTTGTATACTTTACATCTTACAGCATTTCACTTGCTACAAATGATGTCAAACATTGAAGGAAGTACTGGCATTCTGTCCAGTAGGTTTTTACCCCTGTCAAGAATCTATTTATAGTTTTGGACCTAGTTCTAACATTAGAATATTCTTGCAATCATGACCATTTTGTTGCATTTCAACTAGTCAAATATGTATTCAATATAGCTGTTTTGTCTTTTGTCTCAATCAAGGAGGTCTTTATCTCCTGTGTCAGTTGATTCTTGCTCTGTTTCACTGTCACATGTATTTTGGATCCAATGGTCAACATCAAACACATCATCATATTATTCATGCAAGAATCACCTGAATGACTCACTTCTGATCTTCCACACTTGCAAATCGGGATTTTCATGTATGATTGTACTGAACTTTGCTAATTCTATAAGAAATATCAAAAGAAAACATTTCTAAAACACAAATAATAAATGCATTAAAAATTAACAATGAACATCTCAAAACACATATATTGCTCCTTTGGAGCTCCTGTACATACCTTACTTTGCCCTTTGGTTGTCAAATGGGCGAATGCATAGATGGGTTCCTGTTTTCCCCAAGCACAGCTGCTGTGAGCCACACCTGGCTTTCATTATGGTAAA